TTCCAGAGGAGAGAGCTTAAAAAAAGAGAGAGAGTTTAAAGGGCACCTGGCTGGCTGAGTCGGTAGAGGATGCAACTCTTGGTCTTGGGGCTGTGAGTTCAAGCCCCACATTGGGTGTAGAGCTTACATTTAAAAAACAAATTTTAAAACAATGAGTTTTATACTAATACTTCCAATTCAAGTCCAACACCACAGGGTTCTCACTCACTTTTCCCCATTTCGTATTTCTATCTTGCTTCTCTTAAAATTCTGGTTCCCGACATCCATATGTTGACTCTTTTCAGAATTGCAAGGTGGATACCACTACCAACAATAAACCTAAGTAAAGTTCAGAAGTTCTTTGCAGATTTTTGTCCTTAGACTATATCCTATTAAGGATATATAATGTACTGTGTGTAAAAATTACTTGAATCATTTTTTCCCTCTGTGGAGTTTTTTTTTTAAGATTTTATTTATTTATTTGACAGACAGAGATCACAAGGAGGCAGAGAGGCAGGCAGAGAGAGAGGAGGAAGCAGGCTCCCTGCTGAGCAGAGACCCAATGTGGGGCTCGATCCCAGGGTCCTGGGATCATGACCTGAGCCGAAGGCAGAGGTTTTAACCCACTGAGCCACCCAGGCGCCCCTAAATGCACTTTATTTTTAAAAAGATTTTATTTATTTATTTGACAGACAGAGCCAGAGAGCACAAGTAGGGCAGCAGCAGAGGGAGAGGGAGAAGCAGGCTCCTGGGATCATGACCTGAGCCGAAGGTAGACACCTAACTGACGGGGCCATCCAGGCGCCCTAAACGTACTTTACACTGCTTCTTAGTTGTTTGTGCTTAAGGAAAAGCAGATCCAGCAAGAGGTAGATAGAGTGTTATAGAATGGGGAAGGGGCACGGTGCACCTGGGCGGCTTAGTCACTTAAGCATCTGACTTCAGCTCAGGTCACAATCCCAGGGTCCGGGGATCGAGCCTCATGTCGGGCTCCTGGCTCAACTGGGAGTCAGCTTCTCCCTCTCCCACTCCCCCTACTCGTGCTCGCTCTCTGTGTCAAATAAATAAATAAAATATTTTTAAAAATAATTCTTAAAAAAATAAAGAATGGGGAAGGGGACTTCACATACTATAAATACTAAAGATGCTATTCTTTTTTTTAAGATTTTATTTATTTATTTGACAGACAGAGATGACAAGCAGGCAGAGAGGCAGGCAGAGAGAGAGAGGGGAGAAGCAGGCTCCCTGCTGAGTAGAGAGCCCGATGCGGGGCTCGATCCCAGGACCCTGGGATCATGACCTGAGCCAAAGGCAGAGGCTTTAACCCACTGAGCCACCCAGGCGCCCCTAAAGATGCTATTCTTGACTCAAAACGTGGTTTTGTGTAAATTTACCACATGACCCAGCAATTTCCAGCACTCCAGTATATACCCAAGAAAACTGAAAACATGTCCATACAAAACCTTGTACACAGGGGCACCTGGGTGGCTCAGTTGGTTAAGCAACTGCTTTTGGCTCAGGTCATGAACCCAGGGTCTTGGAATCAAGCCCCACGTCAGGGTCCCTGTGGGGAGTCTGCTCCTCCCTCTCCCTCTGCCTGCCTCTCCCCCTGCTTGTGTGTTCTCTGTCAGATAAATAAAACCTTAAAAAAAAAAAACTTGTACACAAAGGTTCGTAACAGCACTATTCATAACAGCTAAAAGGTAGAAACAATCCATATTCCCCTCAATTATAAGTAGATAAAATAAGGTATATCCATACAGAGGAATATTATTCAGCAATCAAAAGAAATGAAGTAGGGGCGCCTGCCTGGCTCAGTTGGTGGAGCACATGACTCGATCTCGGTGTTGTGAGTTCAAGCCCCACATTGGGTGTAGAGATTATAAGTAAATTTTAAACACCCCCCCCCCAAATTATTAGTAAAGAAAGCACTGTTTTAGGCAAGGTCACCCTCTAAAGGAGAACAGAGGGGTCTATGAGTAAATTTCCTAGTGCTGATCAGGAAAATGCATGTTGAATGGCTATTCCTGGCGGAACTGAAACACTTGTTAATTAGGTATTAAGTCTTGGTTTTACCTATCTCAGGCTCCTAACCTTAGTGAATCCATTTTGGGCCTGTGGTTTTTCTTTCTGATACTATGTGCTATAGAGGATAAAAGATACATACAACTTTTATACATATAACTTGATTTCAACAGTATGTACTCTAGAAAATAAAAGATACATAGGACTATGGGAATTTAAAGAACACTTTAGATTGCTTTCAAATGACCAAGGTTCTTTGAGGAACAGAGCAATTATCTTACTTAAAGATATAGTCAGGGATGCCTGGGTGGCTCAGTTTGTTAAGCGGCTGCCTTCGGCTCAGGTCATGATCCCAGGGTCTTGGGATCGAGTCCCACATCCGGCTCCTGGCTCTGCAGAGAGCCTGCTTCTCCCTCTCCCTCTGCCTGCTGCTCTCCCTGCTTGTACTCTCTCTCTCTCTCTGTCAAATGAATAAAAATCTTAAAAAAAAAGATATAGTTAAACTAGAATTCACTGAGGGGAAAAATGGGAGAGGCAATAAATATAATTAGGGAGGTGGGGTGGAGGAGAAAGCCTTTCTTGATCTTCTCTGCAAGATAAAAATAAGTTTGGTCAAAAAAAGATCCCCCGCCAAAAGAAAGTACCAATATGTGCTGCAAAAGAGATAAACCTTGAAGACATTATGCCAAACAGAGAAAGTGAGTTCCAAATGACCACATATTGGGGGATCCTGACTGGCTCAGTTGGTAGAGCTTGCAACTTTTTATCTCAGGGTCGTGAGTTCAAGTCCCACGTTGGGTGCAGATCTTACTTGATTAAAAAAAGACCACATATTATTTGATTCCATGTACATGAAATGTTCAGAAAAAAGAAAGTAGATAACTAGTTGCCTAGGGTTGGGGCCGGGAACAGGGATTCACTGCATGAGGGATCTCTTTGAGGTGACAGAAATGTTCTAAAACTGGATTTTAGCTGACGTGCCTGGCTGGCTCAGTCAGTAGAGCATGCGACTCTTGATCTCAGGGTTGTAAGTTTTAGCCCCACCTTTGGTGCAGAGATTACTTAAAAATAAAATCTTAAGGCACCTGGGTGGCTCAGTTGGTTAAGTGTCTACCTTTAGCTCAGGCAGTTATCCCAGCATCCTGGGATCAAGTCCCACATCGGGCTCCCTGCTTGAAGGGGAGCCTGCTTCTCCCTTTCCCCACCTTGTGCTCTCTCTCATGCTCGTTTGCTCTCTCTCAAATAAATAAATAAAATCTATAAATAAAAAATAAAATAAAATCTTAAAAAAATAAAACTGGATTTTGGTGACAGCTGTGTAAATAAATTTACCAAAAATCATTAGACTGTACACCTGAAATGGGTGAACTTTTTGGTATGTAAATTATATTTCAATAAAGCTATTTGCAAAGCAACACAAAACAACATGGTTTTGCTCTTCCTTACTAGTCACTTAATAGTGCACCAGTGCTATATACAATTAAGAGTATCAGTTCATTTTTATAACAAACAGAAGAAAGATATTTTCCTGAAATAACTTGAAGAGGCAAAGGACATTAAATGTTATATCCTATATTTACAACCCTAGTCCCTACTACTATAATACCTATAACACAATAGGAGTGTGATAATTGTTTACCGAATGTAGTGTACTAAGTGAGAAAAATCGCCGACAGGGAACTAACTGGTCTGTCATTAGTGAAAACCAGCAGGAACAAGAGAATCGATGTTAGCAGGGAAGACAGTTCCCTGCCCTGATTGTCTGAGGTAGAAAAATAAGTACAGTTACATGTAGGTGTGATGTGGAATACAATTATAGTTATTTCATCCTTTGCAAGTTGAAAGGGATTTAGAAACCACTCAACAAAGGAGGAGGGTTGAGGAATTGCTTTGATTTTTAGAAAGCAACAGACCCAGTGAAATCAGAAAAGTTTATTGCCATTCATTATGAACAATTTAAAAGTGATATTAGCATGTTAGTCGTCATACAAATTCTTTTTAAGTATAAAAATCAAGATGTCAGTGTATGTAGGACCATCAAGTCAGTCCAATACAAAACAATACTCTCAGACTTATGATTCACACCTCCCTTCATTAAAGGATGCGAGTTTGACCAAACCAAGTCCAGGCTTACATTTGAGATCTTCCCAGACAAAGCGGGAGTAGGAGGCACTATTAAATTAAAAGTCAGTTAAAAAGATTTCAGTAGCTATGGAAAGTTCCCAGAGACATAGGTGACAGCTATGTTTCTAGCCCCTTTCAACCATGAAGTCCGTAAGGACCTCAGGCAGCATCAGTCCAAACATCCTGAGACCGGAACACACTCAAGCAATAGGTGCTTCATCTGGCCGCCCATGAGAAAACTCAGGGACTACAACACAGCAGTTGGTACACCTGCCAACAGGCCAGCTGACTCTTACAGTCCCCACACTATGATAATAGACCCCCACTTTCCAAAGTGCTATTGGGCCTTAGTTAAGGAGGGCCACCCTCACCCTCTTCCAGTTAACACCCTGTTCATACAGAGCTCCTACAGCCCCCGCAACAGGAGGCCCTAGGTCACACACCAGAAACAGATACAGTACATTGAAACTGAGAAGACATCTACCAGACAATGCTATCCACCCTGGATCCTCCACAGCCTTAGACGATGGTGTAGAAATACACACCAATGAATTACTGTATGAAGAGGAGAGTGCAGTGATACAGGAAAAGCAAAACAGAACACCTTAGCCCATGGTGAGGGAAAGGAAAACCAGAAGAAAAGGAGGAGGAACAGTGAGCTTATGTAACCTTTTACTTTCTAACAATACTTGGTATCTGCCTGACCTCCAGCTTTCCAATCCTCCAAGAATAGGGGTGCCAGATTTTGCAAATAGAAATACAGGATGTCCCATTAAATTTGAATTTCAGATAAAGAGCAAATAATTTTTTAATCTATTCCCAAATACTGTATGGTACATACTTACACTAAAAAATTATTTGTAAAAAAACAAACAAACAAACAAACAAAAACTACTCTCTTTTACCTGGCAACCCTGTCCAGGAGGCTCAGTTAACCTGAGCTCTAATGTGATCATATATTGTCAAAGAGCAACAGTGAGACCACCCCAGAGCAAAGCACAGACACTTCATTTGCCACAGAAGTAGCTAGGTGATTCTTTTAACTCCATTTCCCAAACTCTCAAAGATCCACTGCTTATTTTGACAGGGTAGGAGGATATGTGCCCAGTGGAGTCGTTAACCACTATCTGCCAGGTGGAGAAGGAAGTTTTCCTTCCATATCAAAGGAGGAAGGTAAAAAGTACAACTAGAAAGAATAAGGAGAAACAGGCTTAGTAGGGTAAAGAATGTGACTCCTACCACCGCAGGGCAGACTGAGCAACTCCGGCAAAATCCCTACCAATGTTGACAGCCCCAGGGTCTGGAAATCCAATATACTCCAACTTTCTTTGAGCAACTAAAAGACCTCAAAAGGCAACCAGGACTGAAAACACACACAAACATACACACACGCATACAGAGGAGGGAGGAATAGGAAGAGAGCAAGGCAGGACACTGAGAAGAATCACACAACTCCCTGATAACGACTGGCAGAATATTTTGGTTGGTTGGTTGGTTGGTTGATGGGGTTAACCTTCAGTGGTCTTTCCCTAAAGCAGAGGCTGACAGAAAAAAAGGCGCCTCACAGAGGCCCAGGGACACAGCTTTATGGGGGATTAATTCCACATCACAAGGCCCATAGTGCTATCATAATCTAACAACAGATCTGACCATCAGACCCCACATCCAATGCGCTACCATGACTAAGTGCCAAACCCAACACCTAAGGGCGGAAGAGGAGCCAGTAACAAGTCCATGGCTGATAAACATTGCTCTCAAAGGCATAAAGAGGGAAATAACAAAAAGAACAGGACCACATTATGCTTTTTTTTCACAGCCTCTTTGGGAGTTTCTAGTTCCTTTTAATCCAACATCTCTGAAACTGTGTTTCTAGAGAGGTTAACAGGTGTTGCGTGGAAGCAAAAAAAAAAAAAAAAATTCAGTGAAATAAATTTGAGAAATGTTGCCCACTTACTAAAAGTTATAAATCCCTCCAGTAGAGGAACCTGTTCAGCTTTATTTAAATCACTGGTTACCAAAAGGGGGGAGGCTGGAGTAAATAGGTGATGAGGATTAAAGGACACTTGTGATGAGCACCACGTGTTGTACAGAAGTGCTGAATCACTAAATTGTACACCTGAAACTAATATCACAGTTTGTTAACTAACTGGAATTTAAATAAACACTTAAAAAAAACCCACTGGTTCCTGACTTACTTGACCATAGAACCTTGTTAAGGAACATCAATTAGTATCTTCCAGAACTTCAAGAAATGCTGCTTAACCGTTTTTGCAAACATGTCCCATCTCCAGAATGGGAAGAATACATGTCGACACTGGGAACACCCAGGTGTCACACATAAAATGATTTTCCAAAATTACTATATCAGAAAGTTTAAGGCAATGCTTTCGAAACTGTAGAAACTTGTCCTTCTGTGAGGCACTTGCTCAATGGTAAATACAGCTAGGAAAGCTAGTTCAGAGGTAAAAGTCAGTCTCTCTCTCTCTCTCTCCCCCTTTCCCCCCAAACTTCCTCCAAAAGGTTCAGACCAAACTTCACAGCAACCATGTACAAACGAGGCTATCTTTGTTCCTCAAAAGCCCGATAACCTGGAGTCTAGGGTTTCTAGGAAAAGAGACAAATGGCTCATGCTGGCATTGTTCAATGCTATCAAAGGAATCCCTCTTATTCCCCCTTCGGTGCAGTCCCCAAATAGCACCCCAAAAGCTATAAAAGGACACACTTCTTGGTGTTCTTCTTTGTGGCAGGGTAAAGCACAGCCCGGACAGCTTCTGAAAATACCTCATGCACCCCATACTGCATCAGGGCTGAACATTCTAGATACTTCACAGCCCCCACCTGCTTAGCCAGGGAAGTGCCTTGCTGAGGAGTTGTGGGCACTAGGCTCTGTTCCTTCAGCTTCTTCACTGTCTCAATGTCATCCCGCAGGTCTCTCTTGGTACCTACCAGCAGAACAGGCACATTGGGACAATGATGGGAGACCTCAGGGTGCCACTTATGCCTCACATTGGCATACGAGGATGGGTTGCCAATGGAAAAACAAATGACAAAGATATTGGTCTGGGGGTAGGACAGCGTTCGCAGTCGGTCATACTCCTCTTGGCCAGCTGTGTCCCACAGGTTCAGGCTGACGATCTGGCCATCCACAGACGTCTGGGCACTATAGTTATCAAAGACGGTGGGGATATACTCCTCAGGAAAGGCATTCGTTGTGTAACTGATGAGGAGGCAGGTCTTACCTACAGCCCCATCTCCTACAACCACACATTTGATTGTCTGCATTCTTTCTTTGGAGTCCTAAGTGCAATAGAGAAAGAAAGAACACTCACAGATGCTTGGTTCATTTGGGGAGCCTAAGCTTTACCAACATTTCTCTCTGAGGAGAAAGAGAGGAGGTAAGACCCCCCACCCACTGACCATCCCCTTAATACCACAGAAGAGTCAGCTGAGAAAGAGTACATAGGACAAGAGTTCTTACCATGGAGTCCATGGACTGCTAGAGGATAAACTTCAGTAGGTCCTAGAAGTCGCCTCTGAAGTATGCGATATTATGTGTAGGTACATAAGTGAATTTTTCTGGAAAGAAGATCCAAAACTGTCATCAGATTGTTAAAAAGGCTGTGAGCCCAAAAAGATTAAAAACCATTCACATACATAGGTATTTCTGTTTTATTTTTGTCAGGTCTGGCTATACTCTATCAAAGGTGCTAAAACATAGTGGGTGCTCAGTAAATGGAAACTAATTTTTAAAATAGCACTGATGTTGGTACACCCAGGTGGCACAATCGGTTAGGCATCTGACTCTTGGTTTCAGCTCAGGCTGTGATCTCAGGGTCATGGTATGGAGCCCTGCATTGGGCTCCGTGCTCAGCACAGACTCTGCTTGAAATTCTCTCTCCCTCTGCCCCTCCCGCTCATGCGTACACATGTTCTCTCTCTCTCCCCCTCTCCCTCTCAAATAAATAAATATGTCTTTTAAAAAACACACTGATGTAGAAAGGAGGGTCTAAAGGTTGAAACAAAAGAAATATGGCTCTGACTTTGGGTCTGTGGCTATAGACCCAGCAAAGCAATCCCTGTTCCTGACAGTGACGTCCTAAAATTGGAGAAAGGTAGACCAGTCAGACTTAGCCTCCCAGAGTAAAGAGTCCAGGCTCTGATGTCAGGCCACCTGGAGTCCAAAACCAGTCCTTTCTTTTTCTAAGCTTTGTCGACTTCAGCAAGCGCTTCACCCATGGCTTACGGGAAAGAATGTTTGTGTAGTACTTATTAGTGCCTGTCACACAGAAAGTACTCATTAAGCATTCGAAACTACTATGACTTCGTAATAATTCTTGTACTGTTCTGGGGAAGGCAAAAGTTCTGTAATGTGATTACAGTGCTAGACAAACCACAGATCTCATCCCTTCCTACCTTATCTGAGCAAAACCATTAGTCATACCACCACCATACTTTCTCTTTTACTTCTTCAGGAATCAAGCATTTGAGAGTTAACGGTAAGGCATAGATGACCTCCAAGAAGCGTGTTTACTATGAGCTCCCACATTTATATCCCATTTTAAAACCCTATCACCGCCCTACCCTGTCAGTGCCCCCAGAGCACTCCATTTCCTTTAGCTTAACTACTGCACTAATTTCAGACCTGATCCTGATAGCATTAACTTCACGTGTCGGAACATGGAGGAAAGGGGATAAACTGTCATAAGTATTTGATTATAGGAAAAAAAAAAATGAGGGCGCCTGGATGGCTCAGTTAAGCGACTGCCTTTGGCTCAGGTCATGATCCTAGAGTCCCAGGATCCAGTCCCACATTGGGCTCCCAGCTCAGCAGGGAGTCTGCTTCTCCCTTTGACCCTCCCCGCTCTTGTGCTCTCGCTCTCTCTCTCTCCCCCCGACTCTCAAATAAATAAAATCTTTTTTAAAAATTGAGAATCAATTAGTTTCTCACCTTAGGAATTTGGGGGAATAGATACATCCCTCATCCTGTTGTCTTTTTCTTTCTTTATTTATTGGAGAGAAAGGGGGAGAGAGAGAGAGAGAGAGAGCATGTGCGAGCGCAAGAAAGAGCACTAGCAGTATGAAAGGCAGAGGGAGAAGCAGGCTCCCTGCAGGAAGCCCAATGTGGAACTCCATCTTGAGATTCCAGGATCACAACCTGAGCCAAAAGCAGACGCTTAACTGAGCCAGCCAGGCGCCCCTCTATTGTCATATCAGCTAAGGTCTAGATTAGGCCCATATCACAGACAAAACAAAACATCTTATTTTCAGTCAGAGTAAAGAGAAGTTGGCCTTCAGGGCACCTGGGTGGCTCAGTGGGTTAAGAGTCTGCCTTTGGCTCAGGTCATGATCTTGGGGTCCTGGCATCAAGTCCTGCATCAGGCTCCCTGCTCAGCGGGGAGCCTGCTTCTCCCTCTCCCTCTGCCTCTCCCCTCTGCTTATGCTCTCTGTCTCTCTCTCTCTCACTCTAAGAAATAAATTAAATTAAATCTTAAAAAAAAAAAAAAAAAGGAAAGAGAAAAGTTGGCCTTCTGAGTATGCTTCACACAGGCCCACTAGAGGTAGCTCTCTTCCCACAGAGCCAATTCTGACTCACAAGGCATTCCACCTAAAGCCTTCATTAGCACAGGTCCCACAGCTAAAAGTCCGGAGTGTAATTCATCTTTAGTATTCACTGACCATCAGCCCTATCTTTTTCCACCTAGGAAGAGGCATAAGGATCAAACATACAAGGTCAATGAGAAAAGGGTAAAGTCACCAGCACATTCTTTGAGAATAGCCTTCCTTGATTTTCCCAGTCTGGATTAACTTCTTTCTCCTCTGAATTCCTGTAGCAATTCCTATATGAACAACTCACCTTCCCAGCCTGCTATCCTTTATCATCCAGTAGCCAACATCTCTGTTCAAAGTGACTGCTTTCAGGACAACTGTGCATCTGAGGGGGTTCCCGAACCAGACCAAACTCTTAGACCCAAAGACCACTTCGCACCCCAAATTCGCAGCTCCTCATCTCGATAACTAGGAAAAGGCATCTACACTCGTTTCTGCTTGTTTATATCTACTAACCCTTCTGGTTATATGGTCTGCAGATGAGCACTCAAGCCACACTGAGGGACTAGATGATGAAGGGCAGCTAGAACATCCCAGGTCTGAAACAAAACCCACGACATCCTCACCCATAGCAAACTCTCTATCAAAGTTTGGGGGGCTACTTTGTACAAGCACCTGACTCATTTACTCAGCCCACATGTCCCACATGTTCAGCATATGTTATTTACTTATGTGTATGTTTGGAATTATCCACAGTTAAAAAGTTTAAATATACTAAAAATATATCTAAAAGAATTAAAAACAGGATCTCAAAGCGGTATTTGTACACCAATGTTCATTGCAACATTATGCACAAGAGCCAGGAGGTGGAAGCAACCTAAAGACCATCAACAGATGAACACATTAAAAAAAAAAAAAAAAATATATATATATATATATATATATATATATAGTATATTATTCAACCTTAAAAAGAAGGAAATCTTGGAGCACCTGGCTGGCTCAATCGTAGAGCATGCGACTCTTGATCTCAGGGTCATGAGTTCAAGCCCCACACTGGGCATGGTGCCTACTTAAAAAAAAGAGAGAGAAAGAGAAGGAACTCTTCATACACTACAACATGGATGAAACTTGAGGACATACGCTAAGTGAAATCACATAGACAGCCATATACTGCATGATTCCACTTACATAAGGTATCTACAGTAGTCAAACACATAAAAACAGAAAGTAGAATGGTAGTTGCCAGGGCTGGAGGAGGGGAAATGGGGAAGGTTTTAAAAAAAAAATTATTTTAGAGAGAAAGAAAGAATAGGAGGAAGGGCAGAGAGAGAGAATCTTCAAGCAGAGTCCCTGCTGAGCATGGAGCCTGACGCAGGGCTCTATCCCACGACCCATGAGATCATGACTTGAGCCAAAATCAAGAGTCAGACACTTAACCAACTGAGCCACTCAGGCACCCTAATGGAGAATTGTTTACTGGTGACAAAGTTTCAGTTTTGCAGGGTGCCTGGGTGACTCAGTAGGTTAAGCATCTGACTCTTGATTTCTGCTCAGGTCATGATCTCAGGGTCCTGGGATTGAGGCTCATATTAAGGGGGGTGGGTCCATAGTCAATGGGGCATCTGCTTGTCCCTCTGGCCCTCCCCCACTCATGTTCACAGGCTTACATACTCTCTCAAATAAATAAAATCTTTAAAATGAAAGTTTTAGTTTGCCAAGATGAAAAATTCTAGAGATCTACTGCACAGCAATACATATATAGTTAACACTACTGTAATGAATATTTTAAAATGGTTTAAAATACTAAAAATAAAAGTATTTTTAAAGGGTTTGGAGCTCTGAGAGAAGGTAGGGGTCATAAAAGAAAGCAAATAAGAAAAGCTTGTTTACCTCAGCCTCGGGATCTAGCACAATGGAGTCCTGTCACGGATCACCTACAGCTTTTTACAGTGTAAAAGACCCAGTAACAGTCAAGACAAGAATGCAGCTCAAAGGATTACTGTTTCTAGCACATTCTCCTCCAGGTCTCACCCTCTTGGTAAGTCTGAGTCTAATGCACTTGAAATCACGCTGTAACTCTCTGGAACCAAAACAATTCAGCAGAAGACCCCCCAATCTGTATCTATTACTCTCACACAACTTAGTTCCTCTACTAAACACTGGCAGCTTTCTCACACCGGAGACTGCCTTCTTTGGTTCAGGTCCAGCCAAAGGCTTTGGGACTCTAGAAGCCGAAGGAAGCCATGTGAACACTCCCCAAATCCGAGCCAGGGGAAGACTACCCCGCGACTGGAAACTTAACCAGAGACGCAGGGGTAGTGACCCAGCAATAGCTCCACAAGCCCGCTCGGCACTTCCTTCGCATCCTTCACCACCAGGCCTACTTGGTTCCAGCACTTCCTAGGGACTCCTGAGCCTGGGACAGAGCGCTGCCCCACCTGGGATTCGCAAGTAGCAAGAGCGGGAGCGGGCTTAGTCTCCTCCATAGGCATACACCTCACCCCACCGTCCAATGCCTTCCATCTCAGGAATGGCTCACAGACTCACGCAAGCCTCCGGGGCTGGGCAGACTCACGAAAAGTGTGGGGGATAAAGGTGGGGGGCGGTGCGGGAGCGCTGGGGGCGGGGAGTCTCCATAAAGATTACCTGGCAAAGCAAAACCGGTCGTCTTCCACCGCTGTTGACTACAGCGGGCAGAGCCTCCCAGCGCGACTGTGGCGGGGGCGGGCAGGCGCGGCGAGCTCGGCGCCACATCCGGGCAGCTACCGAGTCCCGCCCCCGTCGTCAGGCGCAGCCTCCGCTGGGTGCCCCGATACCTCCTGGGAAGTGGAGTCTTAGCGCCAGCCTCACTGTCTGCGACTCACAGGCTTCTAGACCGACTACCCCTTGGAGTAACTAACGAGGATTACTTGGATCCGGCCCCCAGGTGCGGACCCCCAAGACGGTTACCCGGTGCAGAGGTCCCCAAGGCACCTCTTTCCCTTGCCAAAGTGAGGCCGCCCTTTCCTCCCCAGACCCCAGTTTCCTCCTCAAGACCAGCCCTGACGTAAGGAGGCAGGCAGGAAACTGAAGTATTAGGAAAAAATGGAGGCGATAAAAGAAAATGAAGGAGTGAGCGAATTAGGGTTACTTTCAGTCACCATATTAATTTGCATTTTCTGGAGTTTTCTGTAAGTGGGATCATACAGTCTGCACTCCTTTTTTAGCGGCTTTATGGAGATATAAATTCATATACCGCACAATTCACTCATTGAAATTGTACTGTTCAGGGGTCCCTGTCTAGCTGTCAGTAGAGCATGTGACTCCTGATCTCGCGGTTGTAATTTCCACCCCTGCCTTGGGTGTCGAGATTGCTTAAAAATAAAAAATTTAAAATGTTTGTACGGTTCGGGCGCCTGGGTGGCTCAATGGATTAAGCCTCCGCCTTGGGCTCAGGTCCTGGGATCGAGTGCCACTTCCGGCTCTCCGCTCTGCAGGGAGCCTGCTTTCTCCACTCTCTCTGCCCGCCTTTCTGCCTACTTGTGATCTCTCTCTGTCAAGTAAATAAGTAGAATCTTAAAAAAAACATTTTTCGTACAGTTCAATGTGTTTTTTGTGTTACCTTATTATTTTTTTAAATTGTGGTAACTGCATAACAAAATTTGCCCTTTTACCCATTTTCAAGTGTAAAATTCAGGGGCATTAAGTACATTCACAATGTTGTGCAAAGCATCACCATTGATATTTCCAAAACTTTTTTCATCATCTCTAACAGAAAACTCTGTACCCATTAAGCAAGAACTCCTCATTTCCCCCTGCCTCCAGCCCCTGGAAACCAACTTTCTGTCTCCATGAATTTGACTTTTCTAGCTACCATTCATTTATTGATGGACATTTTGGGTTTTTTTTCCAACTTTTGACTATTGTGACTAATGGTGCTATGAATACTGGCTTACAAGAATCTGGTTTTCTTTATTATTTTCTAGTTCACAGATTTCCACTTTGATCTTCATTATTTTTGTTCCTTTGAATTTTATTTGCTCTTCTTTTTACTGAAGTGAAAGCTGAAGTCATTGTTTTTGAGACATTTCTTCTGTTCTTTTTTTTTTTAAAGATTTTATTTATTTATTTATTTCACAGACAGAGATTACAAGTAGGCAGAGAGGCAGGCAGAGAGGAGGAAGCAGGCTCCCCGCTGAGCAGACAGCCCCATGCGGGGCTCGATCCCATGACCCTGGGATCATGAACTGAGCCGAAGGCAGAGGCTTTAACCCGCTAAGCCACCCAGGTGCCCCCATTTCTTCTGTTCTAATATAGGTTTTTAGTGTATAAAAACTGCTTGCTAAGGGGCACCTACCCAGGTGGCTCAGTGGATTAAGCTCTTGATTTTGGCTTAGGTCATGATCTCAGGGTCACGAGTTCAAGCCCCACATCAAGCTCTGCGCTGAGGGTAGAGGAGCCTGCTTAAGATTCTCTCATTCTCTCTCTGCCGCTCTCTCCAGCCCTCACCTGCTCTCTCTCTCTCAAAATAAATAAATAAAATATATTTTTAAAAATTACCCCCTGAATACTTCTTTAGCAGAATGCCATAAATTATTGTGTGGTTTCATCTTTATTCGGTTCAAAGTATTTTCTTTTTTTTTAATTAAAGATTTTATTTATTTATTTATTTATTTGACAGACAAAGATCACAAGTAGGCGGAGAGGCAGGCAGAAAGAGAGGAAGGGAAGCAGGCTGCCTGCTGAGCAGAGAGCCCGATGCAGGGCTTGATCCCAGGACCCTGGGATCACAACCCAAGCCGAAGGCAGAGGCTTTAACCCACTGAGCCACCCAGGCGCCCCTGGTTCAAAATATTTTCTAATTTCTTTTGATTCCTTCTTTGACCCATGGGACATCTAGAAGTGGATTGTTTCATTTTCAAATATTTGAGGATTTTCCAGAGATCTTTTGGTTTTTGGTGTGTAATTTGACTCCATTTTTTTAGAGAATATACTTGGTATGACTTGACCGTTTTGAATTCATTGAGACTTTTTTTGTGGCCTAGAATATGGTCTACCCTGGTAAATACTCCACGTGCACTTGAAAAGAATATGTATTTTGTTGTTATTGGGTGGAGTGTTCTAAAAATGTCAATGGGGTCAATTTGGTTGATAGTATTGTTCACTTCTTCTGTATCCTCACTAATTTTATGGTTCCTCGTTCTATTGATTACTGAGAGAAGGGTATTGAAATCTGACTAGAACTGCAGATTTGTCTAGTTTTTCTTGCAGTTTGTCAGTTTTTGATTCATGTATTCTGAAGCTCTTGTATTATTATTATATGCACACATATGTAGAATTGTTATGTTCTCTTGTTTTCCATTTGTCCCATCTCTTCTTGGTTCTCTTTTTCCTCTTTTTTTTCTACCTTCTTTTGGATTAATCAATATTATTTTAATTTCACTTTTATCTCCTTATTGGCTTATTAGCTTCACATCTCTGTTTTGTTACATCTTATAGGTTTATTATGTACAACCATAACCTACCCGTCTATCTTCAAGTGTTATTATACCACTTCATGTAGAGTTATATGTTATTATGTACTTACATTAGTGTACATCCATTTCTCTCTTCTTGGACTTTACACTATTGTTATGCATTTTACTTTTACCCCACAATTCACTGTTACTATTTTTTGTTTAAACAGTTAAATTTATATATATATATATATATATAGAGAGAGAGAGAGAGAGAGAGAGAGAGCGCGCGCACAAGTATGCAGAGCAGCAGGCAGAGGGAGAGGGGGAAGCAGGCTCTCCACTGAGCAGGGAGCCCGATGCGGAGCTTGATCCCATGACCCTGGGATCATGACCTGAGTCAAAGACAGCTGCTTAACCATCTGAGCCACCCAGGCGCCCCTAAACAGTTAAATTTTTTAAAGATTTATTTATTTTAGAAAAAGAGAGAGTGTGTGTGTGCGTGAGTCGGGGGAGGAGCAGAGGGGGAAAATCTTTGATCAGACTCCCCTGAGCATGGAGCCTGGTGCAAGGCTCGATCCCATGACCCAGGAGATCATGACCTGAGCCGAAACCAAGAGTCAGATGCTCAACCAACTGAGCCACCCAAAGGCCCTATAAACAGTTAATTTTTCAAGGTTTTATGTATTTATTTGACAGAGAGAGCACAAGCAGGACATTGGCAGGCAGAGGGAGAAGCAAGCTCCCCACGGAGCAGGGAGCCCCATGCAGGACTCAATTCCAAACCCCGGGATCATGACCCAAGCCGAAGGCAGACACTTAACCAACTGAGCCATCCAGGTGCCCTAACGGTTCATTTTTAACAGACTTTTATTTAGAATTTTTTTATAGTCATTTTTTAAATTTATTTTCAGCATAACAGTATTCATTGTTTTTGTACCACACCCAGTGCTCCATGCAATCCGTGCCCTCTCTAATACCCACCACCTGGTTCCCCCAACCTCCCACCTCCCCACCTCTTCAAACCCTTCAGATTGTTTTTCAGAGTCCACAGAATTTTTTTATGTAAGCTCTGCCCCCAGCGTGGGACTTGAACTCACGACCCCAAGGTCAAGAGCGTGGGACTTGAACTCACGACCCCAAGATCAAGAATCACATGCTCTACCAACTGAGCCAGCCAGGCACCCCAATAGACTTTATTTTTTAGAGCAGTTTTAGGTACAGCAAATTAAACAGGAATTACAGAGAATTTCCATTTATCTCCTGACCCCACAGAGGCAGAGCCTAGGCTATCTCAAAATCCCACACTGGGCAGAGTAGCACATTTGTTGTAACTGATGAACCTATGTTGACACACTGTTACTATCCAAAGTCCACTGTCTATCTTAGAGTTCACTCTTGGTTTTGTATATCCAATGAGTTTTGAGAAATATACAATGGCATATATCCACTATTATAACAGCATACAAAATAGTTACACCGTCCTAAAAACCCTGTGGTCTGCCTATTCATTCCCCTCTCCCTACAATCGCTGGCAAGCACGGATCTTTTTATTGTCTCCATAGTTTTGCCTTTTCCAGAATGCCATATAGTTGGAATCATACAATATGTAGACTTCTCAGATTGGCTGTTTCCCTTTAGTAATGTGCATTTGAAATTCTTCCATGTCTTTTTATGGCTTGATGCCTCATTTCTTTTTAGTGAATAATATTGTATTGTCTGGATGTACCACAATTTATTTATATATTCACCTTCTGAAGAACGTCTTGGTTGCTTCCAAGATTTGGCAATTACGAATAAAACGCCATAAACATCTAAGTGCAGGATTTTGTGTGGTCGTGAATTTTCAGTTCATTTAGGGAAATATGAATGTGATTGCTGGCCCAAATGGGTAATTATTTTTTTAAAACAGCTTTATTGGGGTAAAAATTTACACATCATAAATTCACCCATTTTAAATGTGCAACTAAATGATTTTTTAGTATATTGACAATGTTGGGGCGCCTGGGTGGCTCAGTTGGTTAAGCATCTGCTTTTTGGCTCAGGTCATGATCCCAGAGTTCTGGGATCGAGTCCCACATAGAGAAATCCCTGCTCATCAGGGAGTCTGCTTCTCCCTCCCTTCTACCCCTGCCCCTGCTCATGCTCGCTCTCTTTCTCTAAGATAAATAAATAAATAAATAAATAAATAAATCTTTTTAAAAATCTTTTGTCAAACATATGTCTTATGATACTTTCTTCCATTCTGTGGCTTGTGTATCATTTTCTGAAATAGCAGAAGTTTTTAATTTTGATATATTCAAG